GATGAATGGCTCTCAACGGTGGAAGAGATAGAATTGACTGTATGTGGGGGAACTAGAATTCAGTGGGGATCTACAAAGGCCTATTTCTCCCGCCATAGGAAGAGGTATAAATTTTGCATTTCAGCTCTAAAATGAGTACCATGTGTTCTCCAGCCATGGGTTTTCAATTCAAAATGATTTTCCATATGAGATGCTTCCATTTCCACGGAGGCCAAGTTCCATTAGCAACATCTGGCATATTATGTAATCACCAATATGAGAAGTTTTATGGAATGGTCTAGCTAATGATAGTTGATGTGTGAGTTACAAAATGTCCTTGTTCACCTATTTATGTTGTGTTTAGCACAAGTGCCAGGCAACTTACTATTATGCAATGGTGGTCTGAAGGCTGCTGTAGGACATGATATGGAGACTGTTTTTCTGAGCAAAACTAAAGCACTGGCATCCTTTAGGTTGTTAATTTGAAGCACCACATCTATTTGATATCTTCTTTCTTCTTCACAGATCATCAGACACCACCTCCTAATTGTTGTAAGGTTTCTAGGCAACTTATAGCAATATTCTCTCACTTTTGCTTGTTGCAACTCATTTATAGCCTTATTACCAGTTTAGGTCATATAATTGGCTGCTTTTGGCAAGATAAAAAATTCCCGGAGGAGACTATACGCTAACTAACAGGTTTTAGTTCGTTGTTTTTCCCGTGGCTATGTTTTTTTCCTTGTTCAATCTTTGTAAAATTGTTGAATTATTGTTTTAACCATTGCGTGTTTTAAGAATACTTTATTACCGATTTGACTGGTTATACTTTATTAGTAATTGGGATACCCGCTTTTAGGATCACTTTTACACTGTTGGAGCTAGTAGGAACGATTTTATGTTTGTTTTTTTGTGATGCTCTTGGTCTTTAGAGCTCATAAAAGCCAGCCTTTGGCTCTCTGTTTATCCTAGTTAGTGGGTAGAAGCCATGAAGCAGTGAGATGCAACTTCTTTCACAAACACACACAATTGTCTAAAGGCAAAATCTAAGTAGAATGAATGAACACATTGTTGAATAACAGCTTGGTATCTTCTTTCCAGCTCTGGAATGGCAAATCTTATCAAATTGCTTAACCCTCTGGGTGGATTAGATGTAACCTCTATCTGAGACTGGTTGGGAAATCTTTTATCTGAAAAAGAGAATGGAAAGCACGGGATGGGAAGGAAGCTGAAAATGTGATCTAACATCTCATGAGGAAATTATTTTTAGTCTGTTTACAACCAAAAGTCTCATCACCAATTTTCACAATGTTTGTTGGATGCTCACGGCAGTACTAAGTTCTATGCATTTGTCTAGAACAAAAACTCAAGTTCCCTTTTGGTGTTTAAATCAGCTTTAACTGATTGCATTCTGATATAGCTATTGTCCAGGGTGAGCTATTGCAGTTACAGCTGGTTGATTTGTATTTCTAGTCATGCAATGTGGTGTTTGGATATGGTAACTTTAAAGGCTGTCCACTATAAAGAAGTTCCTTTGCGTGCGGGGTGCTTTGCCCTAACTTATGTAACCTTCCATATTTTTCTTCAAAGGCTGTTTATATAACTCTCAGCCGTGACCTCGAGTCATGTTGCAAACCTCAATGCACTGCCAAGGCTCTCCTATTTTCAATAGTGATGGGTTTTATATTCACTATCTTACTTGCTAAGTTCCCCTTCTTACGCCTGCAAGATGGGTTCACTTTTTATTTAAAAGTTCAAACAAACGTCTTTTAATCATTCTGCTGTAGTTTTAATTGCAGATGAACTTTTATTTGAAAATTCTTTTGAAGTTGAGATTCCTCTTACCTTATTGGTTACCAGCAAATTGTACTTGCCTCAGTAGAATTTCACAATTTGTGCCACTGGGAAGATGCCTCCTCACCTGAACCTCCTCAACTGTTCATGCATATATGTATGTTTTCATTTGTATGTCTTTCTCGGCATGGTTTCATACGTAGTGCACTTGCTGTGATGTTTGGGGGTTGCGAGGAACTAAGAACCTCAGTATGGAATAAGATTGGAGGGTACAATTTTTATTTTCATTTTTTTCCTTCTATCCATTCAGTCTTTTTAATGTAAGTTTCATCTCTACAAGTCTTTCTTCAATTTAACTTAAGCTCCTGTTACTTAAACAGTTGAATGAAACCAGAAAGATAGACAGCAATCTTGTTGTGATTGGGAAGCCTAAAGTTGACAACTATAAAGAAGATGACAATGATGTGGATGATGATGATGCAGATCATGTAGAAGAATCTGAAGGAGAGGATTTCGAGCAGGAGACTGGTTGATTCTTTTCGCTGCAGCTTTTCCTAAAATCCTTCGCTTCATATGGTGATCTTGTGATCTTTTTAGTATGAAATGCTTACTTGAAACTAGTGGTTCTCGATCTTGCCTATAGGAATTATGTTACAAATTTGTTAGAAATCTATTACCATTTCTCCGTGACTGGAACTTTGTTACATGTGTTGAAACAATACCAACAAAGGAAGATAGATGAAGTTCTTCGATCTCAAACTCCACTTAATTTCTCTGCTGTTATCTTTGCAATATAAACATGTTTCTAGTTGCTCCTGAACTGAAAAGATTATTTGACGAAATCTGATGTAATTTTTGTGATAGTTGGTTCGAGGTTCTCTGCAACATCTGGTATCATAATTTTCTCGCAAGTCTGGCAATATTTACTAGATTTTGGCGGTTCCATTTTCTCGATGATCATCCTTGTCTTTTGCAGGCCCTGTTGTCAATTAGAAACTTTACTTTCACTTCACTTTTTATCTCTGTTACCTTTGCATTTGGCACCTCAAAGAGCTTCTTAATTTTCTGAAATGCTTGATAAAATAAGTCAGAGAAATTTTGCTGACTATTCAACTTAAAGCATTTGAAGCATATGCTACTATGGTCTCCATAACATTATCCTTCCGGGGGTGTCTTGCAATTGCATGTCGCGGACCACCATTGAATCATACGGACCACCATTCTTGAAAGCAAAATAGCCTAAGTTAGAGAATACTACTTTATATGGAAAGAAGTTTACTCATTAGAGCAGGTCTTCGTTTACTACATTGGTTATTCTCATAAAATTACCTTCGTTTACTACATTGGTCTCTTAAAATTACGAGCAGGTCTTCTAGTTTTCCTTTTCAGCGTTTATGATTGTGTGTTATTATTGTCTTGTTTATTTTACTTGTATTTTTCATTCTGGCTTACTAGGAATTTCATAATTAGTCCACCTTTGGGAGCATACTGATCTGCATAAAGTTCACACACACACACACACACATTCTTTCGACTTTCATGCAACATCAATTTACATTAGTGCTGCACAGATTTTTCAAATTTTGCAGCAAAAATCATTTGGTGACCTAGCCAACACGGTGCTCATTAATTTTTCCTATTGATGACGATTCTCCAATCGTCATCAATCAGCAACTTATCTGCTCACGATTTCCTTGGCCTCCAATGAAAATGGTCAGTGGAAAATAGTTGCTTGAGCTAATCAGTATAATTCTGGGTTATGTTTCTGATTCAGTTTTATATGCAGTTTGTTTGTACTTTTCCAATAATAGGTCCATGAACTCTTCAAACACTCGTCATATTTTACAAGATTTTCTTTCATTTTATACTTGCTCAAGTTTTTAGAACCAAATTTCACCACCATGCAAATACCTCTCCATGCAATTTTTCCAATCATATTTCCACTCTATTGTAGCCAAGTTCTTCCAGTAGATGGAACAAGCAAAATCGGGCCGGTGATCAATTGAATTCCACTTCAACGCTCGTTCCTGAAGGTAACAAATTTACATTGGGACTTTTTTACAACCAAAAACACAAATTTTAGCTACCTTGGAATATGGTGATCCAAATTATAAAGCGTGGGTTGCCAATCCAAACTCTCCAATAGATACTAGCAATGGTGATGCACAATTAACTATGAGCAACACTGGAAATCTCAGCATTTTGGAGGGAAGCATGCTATGAATGTTGCTGATCAAGTGGTGACTAACAATAACACAATAGCCATTTTTCAGGATTAAGGCTATTTCGTTCTTATGGATTCAGGAACTGGGAACCCGATTATATGGCAGAGCTTTGACCATCCTACAGATACACTTCTTCTTGGTATGAAACTTGGCTTCAATCTTACAACTGGGCAAAACTGGACGCTGAGTTCTTCCATACTAGACTCAGGGCAATTACGATGAGCTCGGAGAGGACTCAGGATTCAGGGCTGATTGTTTGTTATTCGTCGGCGGGGTGAGATTTATTGGACAAGTGGTCCTTGGAATAATCATGGTTTCCCATTCTTTGATCAGATCAATGTCTATCCCCTCAGTGTGAACGCCAACTTATTTTCACATCTGTTGATGATGGCATGTACTTTAGTTTTGAAACTATTGGTACAAGTATATCAAAGTTAACCTTAAATCCAGAATGGCAATTAAGGGATCAAACTGTTAAATTTGATGCATATTTATTGGAATTAATTCAGTACGAATTGATAGTTTGATCATTGGATTTCTGTTAGGATTCAATTCTCATTTTAAGTGATATTCTTTATTTGAAAATTTTGAAGGGCGAGTTGATGGCTCGGCAACATTTATGTTTGTTAAACATCTGCAAGGACAGAATACAGCCGGCGATTTTCTCCCAGCGCCGGAAATTCTGAACTTACAGTTACACCTAAGCAGCAGATGATCAGAATGCTACATTCTCTTGAGCAGGTTCTGTTATCGCCTTCTGCTCCTCTACAAATTGCATGTACACTTGTCACGTCACACCTAAAATCAGTCATTTTATTTTTCCGATACAAGAGCTATGAGATAATTCAAAACGCTTACATGATATAATCATATTAGACTAATCGACATCTTACCATGAGATAATTCAAAACGTTACATAATATAATCATATTAGCCTAATTGATATCTTTTTTAAGGAATAAATCAATATGCGACAGTTCAAAGCAATCTCATTTTAGGTTTTGACACAAGTTTTAGATCGGCTTGATTTTTGGTGTTGCTACTGTCTTATATATTGTTATTGAATTTGGCAATTAAGTTAAGGCATGAATAACTGGTGTAATTAGGATTAATTTGACCATAATTTCCTCCTTGTATGAAATGGTCAATGATAATGACACAGGTTGAACTAATCAATCATTTTGGTTATGTTTTGCGTTACGTTTCTATGCAGCTTTTTTGCAATACTCCAAAATTATTGAAAGTCAAGTGCTTTTGAGTTAAGGAACTCTGATGATTGGATAGTTTTGAAGGATGCAATCTGGCATCAGTCAACTCCATGCAGCACTTTGACTATTCTCATTTTCATTTTAATAACCATGAAAAGGTCCAATGAACTTAGAAATTTCAATCTATTTATGTAAGAGATTTCTCCATTTCATGCTTGCTCAAGTTTTTTTTTAGGACCCAATCTCCACCATGAAAATATCTCTCCACGCCATTTTTCTGATTCTATTTCCAATCTGTTGTAGCCAAGTTCTTCCAGTAGATGGAATTAGCATAATCAAGCCAGGTGATCAGTTGAACTCTACTTCAACCCTTGTTTCAGAAGGTGGCAATTTTACTTTGGGATTTTTCACAATCCCGGAAACAAATTTTAGCTACCTGGGAATATGGTATACAGCTGATTATCAACGTAGAAAAGGTTGGGTTGCCAATCCAAACTCTCCAATAAATATGAACAGTAGTGGAGCTGAAGCGCAATTAACAATGGACAGCACAGGAAGTCTCGGCATTTTCAGTGGAGGGAATCCTGTTCTGAATGTTGCTGATCAAGTAGTGACTAACAATAATACGATTGCTGTTTTACTCGATTCGGGAAATTTTGTTCTTATGGATTCAGGATCAGGGAACAGGACTTTATGGCAGAGTTTTGATCATCCTACTGATTCACTTCTTCCTGGTATGAAACTTGGCTTCAATCTCACAACAGGACAAAACTGGACCCTGAGTTCTCCGTTGAGTTCTTACATACTTGGGTCAGGGGCGTTTACGATGAGCTTGGAGAGGACTCAGGATTCAGGGCAGATTGTTATTCGTAGGCGGGGTGAGGTTTATTGGACTAGCGGTCCTTGGAACAATCAAGGTTTCCCATTCTTTTCGAAGCTAAATGCCTCTTTCCTTCTGTTTGCTCACAAACTTAATTTCGCATCTGCGGATGATGGGATGTACTTCAGTTTCGAAACTATTGGTACTGCCATATCAATGTTAACTTTAAATCCAGACGGGACAATTTTGGATGATGCAAATAGTTTTTTTGTTAATTCATATGATCAGTTTTGTTATGGGTATGAAAAAGATAATGGCTGTGCGACTTCAAAGCTTCCTACTTGTCGAAGTAACAAGGACACGTTTAAGGTAAAGAGTGGGGGCTTTATTGGAGGTGACATTAACTATGATCCCAATTCAAACATTAGTCTTAGTGATTGTATGGAAAGGTGTTGGAATGATTGCAACTGCAGAGGATTTAATACTGGCGGAAATAATGATACTGGTTGTATAACGTGGACGAATAATAAGCTGTTTCAAGTAGATGAATCTGGCCGAGCAGTGCAAGCATATGTGTTGGTTGCTGTGAAATCATCCGAAGGTATGTTCTCCTAACTACTATGTTGTCCAACTTCTTTCAACTCCAGTACTCGTGTTTTCTTAGGTCTTATCCTTGATCATGTTAATTAAATATAGAGATTTCAGTACTTTCTGGTTTTGACATAACATCTTGTTTATTATTTAAACATCATACCCGAGACTCACTGGTTTCATGCAGGCATAGATGCCCGTTTGTTTGTTTGTGGCCCTGTATCTCTTCTTAGATTCTTATCATTTGTAGATAGGTTGGAACAAAAATGGACCAAATTTTGTTTGTATGATTTACTGAATTTGACCTTTGTGACCATCTAGAACCTTAACCAGAAACTGTAGATGGATCCTTAGCTTAGAGACTAGCTTCCTTGTGCCAGAATTTTTCTTCCCTCCGCACTATCACATGATTCATTAAGGCATTGCAGGACTGTCATAGTTACTTAGTATCATTGTCATCTCTAGAAGACACTTGAGCCATTCTTGATCTCAGCTTGACTGCAACAGCATGCATATACACAAGATTTTCCCTTGCATATGATAGTATACTTGGTTTTTCAATAAATGCATTGAATAAAGGCTTTTCTTCTGGTTCATTTGTGGAAGCTGTGTTTACAAGTATGTTAATGGTAGGTTTATTGATTGTATAGGAAGAGCATGGATTTGGATTGTTATTGCTCTATCAGTAGCCATGACATTATCTTTGATTGGATGTGTCTTCTACATAAAGATTAAGAAGCGTAAAGCACGAGGTATTACTCATCATCACACCACATTCTTGCTTGTTAAAATTACCTGAATTCTGAAAGCATCCCCTTTTCTACCGTATAGAAGAAGAGAAGCGATTAAGGGATCAGTACATACATCAGTTGACAGCGTCAGAGAGTTTCAAAAACGTTGATGAAATGGAAAAAACTGAAAGAGAAGGTGACTTAAACTTCTTTAATTTTGGATCCATTATGGCTGCTACAAAGGGCTTCTCAGCACAAAACAAACTTGGAGAAGGAGGATTTGGACCAGTCTTCAAGGTAAGTATACATTTATTCATCCCTAAGAAGATTAAACTTCTGGTTCATACTGATAACCTTTTGTACAATGACAGGGAAAATTACTCGATGGTCGTGATATAGCTGTTAAAAGACTTTCAAAGACATCTGGACAAGGTTTAGTGGAGTTCAAAAATGAACTAATACTCATTTCCAAGCTCCAGCACACAAATCTTGTACGAGTGTTAGGATGCTGCATTCATGAAGAAGAAAAAATGCTGATTTATGAATACATGCCCAACAAGAGCCTGGATTTCTTCCTTTTTGGTTTGTAACACTCGAACATTTTTCTTGCACTGGTTCCTTGAATTGTTTCATCCAACAAAATCCAAAGTAAACCTCAATTGACACCCTTTTGCATAATCTTTGACAGCTGAAGATAAAAAGGAGCAACTTGATTGGGAAAAGCGATTTAGTATCATTGAAGGTATTGCTCAAGGACTGCTATACCTTCATAAATATTCCAGAATGCGAGTAATACATAGAGATTTGAAGGCCAGTAATGTTTTATTGGATGAAAATATGAACCCCAAGATTGCTGATTTTGGGATGGCAAAAATCTTCAAACAAAATGAGACAGAGGCAATGACGAACAGGGTTGTAGGAACATAGTAAGTATACAACTGGTTTGTTACCCAAATGCCTGTCAATTATTGCCATTTATACTTTCAGTCTTTGGTTTTGAAGTACTTAGAAAAGTTTTTCGGTACTTTACAGTGGTTACATGGCACCTGAATACGCAATGGAAGGAGCATTTTCGATAAAGTCTGATGTTTTCAGTTTTGGTGTGTTAATCCTTGAAATAGTCAGTGGTAGAAGAAATTCCAACTTCCACCTGTTTGATGAGGAACGTCCTCTCAACCTAATAGGATATGTAAGTTTTCTGATAAATTCTAGACACTTATCATTATATTCTCTCCTAAATCAAAAGAAAAATAAAATGAAGCAATCAAAAACATGAAACCGATCAAGTTGAATTGTTTCAGGCATGGGAGCTGTGGAAAGAAGGGGTAGCCTTAGAACTGAAAGATCCTGCAATTGGTGATTTGAGTGACATAAAGCAGCTATTAAGATCCATTCATGTCGGCCTTTTGTGTGTGCAAGAAAGTGCAACAGATAGGCCAACCATGTCTGAAGTTGTTTCAATGCTTAACAATGAAAGCATGAGCTTGGCAGCTCCCAAGAAACCGGCATATTTCACCGGCAGAAGGGACCTCAATCTTAATTCAACATCGTCAGAAACAAAGAATCGGGAAGCTAATTTGCCTTTTTCTGTGAATGACTTGACGATCTCAGTTGTTCAAGCACGATAAAACAAGCCATTTTCCGCAGCCAAAGTGGCAATGTCATTTTCCAAGGTTATGCTAGAAATAGGGGGCTAGAATTTTTACATCAACTTGTCCCTTGGAATAGTTAGAATACATTTAATGTTAAACATTCATTTCGAGATTGAGTTCAGCGATTAGTTTGCAGAAGTCACTACATCTGGTAGCTCAAGTTAGCAATTCATCAAAGGACGATTTTAATCAAGATGTGCGTTTTACAGTTTCATTTCCTTGGAGAGGTTATGTTGGTTGACGCATGGATTGGCAAATGATCGGCAGAAATATAAATTTGAATTTTAAAATTTTTTAGCTCTTCATGTCGTAATAATAACAATCTATCTTTACAATTGCACTCGATCATTTCACCAAAAGGATCATTATGAATAAAAACGAACATCACCAGGGAAGTCGCCGCCATACTAGCGAACATCCATAAGAAAGTCGCCGCCATATTTAACTAGTAGAGGAGATTATAATCTCACTTATTGAAAATAAATTAAACAACAATAAAAAGTGTAAAGATCAGGACAGAATTATCTCCCCCGTCCTTCCATGGTGGAAAGATAGGAGAAAAGATGAAGTTTTTTTTTTTGTTTTAGGGTTTTAGGGTTGGAGAGGGAGAGAGGGGCGGCCGAGAGAGTTTCTCCATTAATTTACTAGAGCATGTGATTCACCAAATGTGTACATACCATATGATAGATTAGCGTAGACAAGCTTGTCATTCAATTGCCAATAAAGAGGCAACACCAGAAAAGACAGGTTTGGTGCCAATCTAGCTGTAACTTCATTGTTAGAGTATTCACAACGGTTTAAAGTATTGTGAGTATAACATCGTGAATTTCTAACATTATACATTTATTCAACTCTACTATATTGTTTACACTATACAAGCAGTAACGAATCTAGAACAAATTCTTCTGAGAGTCATTATTACATTAGTAAAAAAATACTAGTAATAAAATCGTTGTATTATTAATGATCACTGAGAATTTTCTTATTTTGATGAAATTCTCGAACCACTTTCATATTTATAGTGCATCCTATAATATTATCTTTTAACATTAAATATAATTCTTATACTATTGAAGAGTTAAATATTTGATATACATGTAAATGTACTTAAGAAAAAAAAAATTATGAAAATTTTGAACGTGCGGGAGGCTTCTAAAGAATAAGCCTTAAATTAAGATTCTCTTGATTGTTATGAAATATTTTAAAGATTTTTTTGTCCGTAAAAAAGACATACGATGTAAAACACAGGACAAATCAAAATGACTTATATTAAAGAGCGAAGCGAGTACAACTATTAATTTTGTGCACACATAGAAAGTGATCCACGTTTATACTTGGCAAGGAGTCGCATGAGGTGACCCTTACCATAATATATAATTTTGTTTTACTCATGCAATAAAATAATTAACAAAATAAGAACTTTCATGACAGAAGCATATTTTTCATGATTTATACCATATAGTTGAATGGCCCAAAAGTATATCTACTACTTTCATTTTATCACCCAAAAATTCAGATTGAATACTAAACATTTTCATTTTAAATAGACATATTTGTTTAAAATTTTTGTGTGTCCACAGTATTATTAATAATTTTTAACAACTTTATTTCATTGGAAAGGAAAAACTAATCATTTTTTACCCAACACGAAAGGATAAAATCATTATTTTTATTTTGTTACATAACCAAACAAGATAACAATTCTTTTACTAGAAGCAATTTCCAGTCATTTTGATAAATACTCCATACTCAATCATCTATTAATTATCAACGCTCATTATTATCAATTTAATTTTTTAAAAAAGAAAGAAAACTTGCCGATTGATGGTAAAGCCCACACGGGGTGTGGGCACGAAAAAACTAGTATATAATATAATGGGCTAGGATGGGTCAGTGTGGGCCAAGGCCCCATGGCCCCCACCATAGATCTACCTGTGTGTACAAGTATAATAAATTGAAATAGTTTTAATATCACTACTAGGTGTTAGACCCGTCCGATGAATGGGGAAGGCATACATATATAGACATTTTTATATAAATTTTTTATTTTTATAAAATATGTAATGACTTCAGTTTTAAACATGATTACCTCTGGATTTACAGAAATTTTTTTTTTTTAAATGACATTTCAAATTCACTGGTGATAAGGTTTATGCAGATCTCTCTAAAATTTGTGAGGATTTGGTACTCTCTCAAATCAATCTCTGTGTTACGATTTGGTTCATGAAAATAAGGGTTCACTTTTTATTATTTTGTTTTTTTTAAAAAAATTATTTCAGGTGCTTTTTTTTGGTTTTATTATTTTGTTTTGTGCATTTTTAAGTCTAGAAAATTAAGAAAATGCCACATAGGATTAAATCCTATGTGGCATGTGCTCCATGCCTTTAGTTTTCTCTCTCTGATTTTTGCCTTAATATAGTATACAGATAAATTCTTACACTTTATAATATTATTATTATACTCAACATAATAATAAAGAGTATAATAACATAATTATGTACTAATTATTTACTACTATTGTAGATGCTTTTGACCATTTTTCACTATATTCAAGGAAGAAGAAAAGACAAAAAAATTAGGAGGGGATTTAGGTAGATCTGAATCCATTGTATAACGCTTTCCTAGTAAACATTTCATGCACCGGAGTAACTATTGTTTGTTACCAGATCAACCAATTTAATTTGCGGATCCCATGTTTCCTACGCGCATGACCGCACAAAAAAATGTTACTTATGATAAAGCTACGTGAAAAACACAAAAAAAAAAAAAAAAATTACAATTATTATTGCACTTCATTTCAATAAAAAAATTGTGCATATATTGGCCTTTTCTACTATCGAAAAGTTTTAGTTTCTTATCTTTAAGTTTTGACCTCTTTCATTGTTTGAAAAAAAAAAAGTGCACATACAATTACTCAATCCAGTGTAAGAAATACCAAAATTCAATCGAATCTTCACATCTCTACCAAGAAATACTCCGTATCATATCCAATTGTGTCGACCAGGATTGTTCACCGCCACAAAATGACCGGGGATGATCCTTAAGTGACGTTCTTCATTCATAGTGATGCGCATGATCGCCAGACTACTTCTAGTTTGTGTTCCCCTTACCCCCATAGTTATCTTTCAAAATGATGTTGTTAATTTAATTTTATTTTTTTACTATATGGTGTTCTTCATCAAAAATTTCAGGGCGTGCTGGAGTTTGTTAGTATGACAGTGTTCAATTTTTGATTTTTGTTATGTGACGTCTTTTTTGTCACCTTTAAATTGAAATTAAATTATTAAAAGTATAGTTTATAATCAGGTTTCAGTATTTTTTCCAAAAGACAATAAATAAATATATCTCACTTAAACTCAAAAACTATGCATCATTGATTACGAAGTCACACTAGACACCCCTCCAAAACACAAAGAGTGGCATTCAGTGATGTTTCAAAATTAATAATTTCCAGTAAACAGTTTTGGTATCGTTGAACCACTTCTCAAAAGAAATATTTATAAACATACTTAAAATTATTAGCTAGTGGTAAACAAGGTCATTCCACTGAGACGGCGGTCAACCGCTCAAAATCTGATTAAAGTGCAGAAAAGAAAGAAAATGAGTTGAACAAATTGTCACTTGGGAGAGTGAGAATAGTCACTTGACGGAGTGAAGAAGCAGAACGGTCAATCACCTCTCTACCTTTATGATCCAGTTTTGATTCAAATATTCCTGTAGTGTATAATTAGTTGTTCGATCAGACACTTATATTCTTTATAATTCCTTCGAGACAGAATAAAAGTCTTAGATTATCTAAATCACCTACCTTCCAGTCAGAGTAATTCATTAATTTAAGCCATTGAGTTCTTCAACCCTCTTTGATCGCCTATGTCATTCACCTAACTTCCGTTGATGTTTGGAACCGCAGGGTAGATTTCCTCCATTGTCATAGACTAGATTAAGCAGTTCTAAGGTTATGCTCCCCCTTCAAGATCTTCATAACCATGCAAGCACATTTAATTAAGTGGCCAAATTAATTAAAAGGTTAATTAAATCACTTATATAGGCACAACACCTCATCAAGGAAACTGAATCAAAACCTTCACATAAAGATAGTAGGGATTGAACCCTTAACTGAGTTAGCTACTCATGTTTATTGAGTTAAACATGAGAGCAACAAAGTATAAAAGATAAGACATAAATCTACTCAAAAAGTTAGAGGAAAGAAAGGGAAGATGGTAGCAGGGACAGTTTCTGTCTGCTCACTATGGCGAGTGGCGTTCGCCACTAGACAAAGTGACAGTCTGTCTCCTTGTTCCTGATACTATCCTGTTTCTAACCTACTAACTAACTACCTAACTACTGTCTTTGTGACTAAATCTAACTACCCAATCTGTTGCTTTTCTAACTGCTATTTGCTGATTATTTATAGAGATTTAAAGAAGCTTGGATTGGTTGGTTTCTGGACTTCTTCTCTGCAGCAGAATGGTGAGGCACCAACTTGCAGTAGTAGAGGTTTGTTTATTCAGCAACTTGCCTAGTTGGCAAGTTGCAGTCTTCTCTTTGGCTGCTCCTTCTCTTCAGCCGCAATCAGCCACCTTTCTCTCATCATTGTCTTCTTCTTTTAGTCTTCTTCTCCGGTATAGTTTCTCCAATTTTCAGCCACAAATCTCTATTTCTTCATTCTTTAATCTGCAGCAGCTCAACTAGCAGCAGTAGCAAGCAGCAGCATCAGTAGTATGCTTCCTTCCATCATTGTGTTTCAGCCCCCCATTTAGCCCAAATCTGTTTGCCTTTTCCTTCCTTGTTTTCTGTGATCACTTGCAACACCATTTCTCACCTGACTGCAACAGCCAATCCATCAATTCACCAGCAACAGTCACAGCAGGTAAGTAGCATGTTGTTGCTGCTGTTTTCCATATATTCTCCCTCTTTCTCTTCTTCAACTTGCAGTAGCTATAACTTGCAGTCATGGCGAAGCAATTCCTTCCTTTAGTAGCAAGAATTTACCCTTGGCAGCAGAGCAACTGCCATTTCTTCTTCCTCTATTGAGGTAGCTACTACAGAGTCTTCCACTTGAGTCCATCTGCTATCAATCTTCCTTCCACAGCAAGGATTTCTCCACTTGCTTCAGCTCTGATCTATCCTCCAGCAGCTCAATTTCCAACAACTTCCATTCCAGTCCATTTTGATTTCCTTTTGTGCGATTGGTGCGTGCCGAGTTCACCAAAAATATTACTAGCTTAGATTGTGATTTTT